ACTAGAATTAGCACAAAAATCATCCCTAACATAATCAGCAATATGGTGCCATTTATTCAGTTATACAGAGAGGCCTCCTTGAAAAACCAGGGGAGTATAAACTTTCTGCTCAGGCTGAAAAAGTCAGTACACTTGAGTGGAAAACAGCAAGAACAATGCAAAAGGCCCATCAATGGGTCGCCTCCTTTTTTTTGTTTTTGCCAGTGGCTTCCTGTAGTCACTGTTGAAATGCTGAAACTGTATATTTTCAGAGAATAAATGTTTTGCTTTATTTATATTTTAAATCCTTTCATAATAACTCTAAAGTTGTACATTTTGGGAAATAATGAAGGAAAACTAAAGAAAGAACAAAATCTTCATATAAGTGAGAAATAGTTAATGAAATGTAATGCTCAATCGATATTTAAAGAATATTAGTTGAAGGAGCACTGAATTATTCACCTATACAAGGTAGGAGTTTCTCAAGCTCTGAGTGACCTTGTTCCCTCATGGGGAGAAGTATTCGATTATGTGGAAAAAATAGGTTGACATTATCTTAAGGAAATACTTGAATAGTAATAGCAGGCACTCAGACTTTATCCCAAGTTCAGGAAAAGACCCCTAAAGGTATGAGGGCAATGAGGAAACCGATATTAAGGAGGGCAAGTGTTGCCGCTGTATGTAAGATTGACTGGAAAGGGAGCACAGGGAGACCAGGCAGGGACCCGTCGAAGGAATGAGGCATGAGATAGTTATGGTCTAACTCAGAGGAGATTTATGAGTATTGGACACAATATGACAGATTTTGAATAAAATGAACAGCACTTGGTGAATGACCAGGTAAAAGAGAAGTTCAAAACTCTGAGGTGATAAGCATGAGAGACCAGGTAAGTAGAGAGGAACTTGAAGCTGAAAGCAGAAACTCATTATTATTGTAAGGTTCCTTTGAGTGATTCTGACTCATAGGGACCAAATATGACAGAGTTCACTTGCCTCATGGAGTTTTCTTGGCTGTAATCTTTATGGAAGCAGATAGCCAAGTCTTTCTCTTATGGACCCAGTGGATGGGATCAAACTGCCAACTTTTTGGTCACTAGGTGAACACTACACCCAGGGCTCCATAGAAACTCATGATAGGGATAAAAGGAATGTGTTTAGGTGGAAGATTTAGACATACCAACAGGATAAGGATTAAATCAATGTGTACATATGAAAAAACCATGTGAAAGGAGGCTCATTCAGTTCACAATATGTACCTATAAAGGGACAATCTGCAAGGATAAGATGGCAACAACAGCCTTCTTCATTTCACGGAGTGAAGAAAAGCCCAACAAACACAGAGTTTTTTTCCTTCTTATTCTTCACATGTGGACTCTAACACCCATTTATGTCACATCTTCAATTAAAAAACAATAATAAATATGGAATTTCAAAGGTAAGCACTAGGAAAATATTTTTCCTCTTTACATGCACAAAGCTCTTCGGAAATGAAATGAAATACCCCACATATAACCAAATTTTCTCTGCTAAACAACAGGTTTATTATTCATTTACTTAAAAAAAAAACATGTTTAGCACAAAGATATGTTATGTAGGAAGATAAGCATAACGCTTATCAGATTTTCACTGATTTTTGAAAGAAAAAGACATTTTTCAGCTTGTGAAACTGTATAAACAAGGACATGAAAAACACCAACATCACATTTTCTGAAAAACTGGCAAGCACACTTGGTTATAAATGAAAATATAACTAAACTGGTAACTTTGGAAACACTATAGTTCTGTGAGCTGTGTGCATGTTTCTTCTGGAAAAACTACATATTCGTTCAAATACAATTTATTTATAGGAGTAATTCAATGAATATTTAAACCCAGTTGCTTTAGAAGGATAAATAGCAATCACAGGCATTAGGTTGGAAAAGAACTGAACTGCTAAGATCAAGACAGTTTTATTTAAAACCATCAGAACAAGCTTTGACATTGGAGTGGTTTTATTTGTTGAATTAACAACAGTTTCAATTAGAAGTGATGAAACTTTTAGTCTGTACTATCACTATCTTTAAATTTTTGAATCCAGCTTTTCATTTTATGTAAATAAGATTAGTTTCTTTCCATCTATGTCATAGCCCTTCAAAAGATAAGAGTTTGGAAAAGCAGAAGAATAAAGAAAATAATAGCAAAAGGCCTATACATGAATAAAATAATTCAACTCAACTAGCATCCATTATTAATCACATGATATTCTACCAGAGGCTTAGAAAGGAAGAGGACAACACAACTGCCTTTCTCCACAAACTTGCAATATGTGCAAGGAGACAATAAGTTCTATGTATGTGATTCAATAATAGGACAAAATTTCCAAGGTAAAACAATATTGCACGTGCATCAGCATGTGTGCCAAAAAGCTGAAAGATTCAAAATAAGGGGGGAATCTGAGTGTCTTCAAAATAGATGCCAGAGGAGAAATGTGTATGTGATTACACTCTAAGAGAAGCAAAGAGTTTGTCAAAGGAGACCCTGCATGGTACAAATGGTTAATACACTTGACTACTAACCAAGCTCTGGTAGCATAGTGGCTAAGGCACTTGACTGCTAACCAGAAGGCTGGCGGTTCAAACCCACTAGCCACTCCTCGGAAGGAAGGTTGGGCAATCCTACTTCCGTAGTGTTACTGCCTCGGAAACCCAAGGAGGGGTCACTATGAGTCGTGGCCGACTCGACGGCACATAACAACAACAACAACTAACCAAAAGTTTAGTTAGGCCTGGTGATCTACTGTAAAAGATCAGCCATTGAAGAACCTGTGGAACACAGTTACACTTTGATACATAAACGATTGCCATGAGTTGGAATCAATTTGATGGTGTTCTGGTTACCTAGCACTGCTCTGACAAGAATATACCACCAATGGGATGGCTTGAACAAATAGCTTTAAGTCTGAGTTTAAAGTGTCAGGCTCTGGGGGCTGGGTGAAAGCCCCTCAACCATGCGCTTCAGCTCTGCCTCCTGCTCCCGGCCCACTGAAGCTGGAGGCTTTTCTTCACTCAGCTGCTGGCTGTTGAGGCTGACAAGCCCAAGGTTGACAAGTGAAAAGGCACAATCCCGATGTTACCAAACAACACAGGAGGCCATTGATTCAAGTCCATTGAAAGTCCCAGCATCAGCAGCACACAGCAGGCTGCTGAACAATGACTTGGCTACATACAGGGTTCAAGCATGCCATAAGCTAGCGACCATTCCCAAAGATGCTGCTTATATATAGGAAGCAGAGCACATACCCAAAGCAGCTACTCAACTGCTTCAATAGATGCCACCATGGAGTTAATTACCAATGTCACCATGGGGAATAACTCCATTCAGCTGCCCAGCCACTCAACCAGGCCCAGCCAAGTTGACACACAAACTTAACCACCAACAGATGGCAACTTGTTTTAGGGTTTTTCACAGACACTCCAGATAAAATAAGATTTAAGGGTAAATGAGCAGATGATTAAGGAGCCAGGCTTAACTCAGAGATGATCTAAAGAAGAGATACAATAGGCAAGGCAGGCTAGGGAGGATCTTGAATGTAAGTAAGGCTGAGATATCAGAGTCTGATTCAAGAGCTAGTAAGGAGCCACTGTTAAGTTTTTAAATAGGACGATAGCTTCAGAAATAATTAAGTGTTGTGTCTGTATTATATTAAAACAACCTGTTAGGTTGAATGAAAATATGACCAAACCCATGTTTGCATGCACATGGTTGATCTGGCTTAAGAGATTGAATGCTTTCACTTGGGAGGTCATCATGATTGACATATGGTATGGTTATATGTTTATAAGATGAAATACTAGATTTTAAAAACCTGACATCTAGCAAACTCACCTTTTAATATACTGACATACAAGGCATTTATAATTGACTATGCTGAAAATTATTGCAAAACGGTTCTGCAAAAATTTATTCCCAGTCAACTAAACAAATGCATATAGTGTCACATATCATAAATAATTTTCAAATCTTGGACACCTAATTGTCTCTCTTTCTGAATGCCTTTCCCTAAATTTTACTTGGCTTTGCCATGGGTGACCCACAAGGGGAACATGAACTAATGTTTTCTGAATGTTTACTTTGAACTTATGGTCTATATAGTTCTCTGTTATGAACCATATAGTTATCTGTTATATGCCCTATATATATTTCATATTGAATCCTGGTAGATATAGATGATGCAATGTTCTGAGAATTACTGCAGAAAAAAATTTATAGAAAACAAGGAATAAAAAATGTGCACATTTTATAATCTACAATTAGGAATCTTCTAAAAATTGTATGTATGTAACTAATTTATATCTGTGAGCCACAGTGGATAATGAAAATAAAACACTTCTTGATAACTTTTATTAAGGATAATCAATAATTTATTTCTCTTTTATCATCACAATTACCACAATTAACTAGCTACATGACCAATGCCACTACATATCACAGGAAGATTGTCTACCTACACTTCACTGAGACGAAGACAACTGCCATTTATGTGTTAAATGTACAACGGTATATTAAACAGAGGTGGTTTTTATGCATAAGATAATATGTGGCACATGATTTAGTAACAAGTTTGATTTAATATGTACGTATTATGCCAAGAAGCAAGCATAGAAATGTTTTGGCATTGAGTTATAATTAAAGTATAAAATAAGCAAACTAGAGAAATAAATCCAGATCTTAACTTACAATAGATACATTAGTGTAGGAAATTAATTAGTTCCTCAGTATTTTTGTTCAAGTATTTTTTTTCTCTATTTTTTTTTTTTAATAAATGAGTAATATGAATATATCACAAGTTAAAGAAAGACCTCAGCCAAAAAGAAGGTACCAGTATATGAAAAACAAATGAAAAAATTACCAGGTATTTTTTGCTTACAAAAAATTTAAACTGTAAAGAGTCACAGAATATATATAAAACGCCACATTGAACGAGGCAATCGTACTCTACCCAAACTGGTAGCACCCTCCTAGAATCAGTCGCACACACACAGTCATACAGTTGTGACTGACAGAAAGGCATTGTGAACTCTTGTGCCATCAGGAGACTTGGCCCCGTGGGTCATCAGTTCTTGGATTGTCATCCAGTTGTCCAAAATTTTCTTGTTTCTTTTTTTCATCATCTTTTTGTGACTTAGTTCAATAATGTTGATCTCCTTCTTGCCCTCACTGCCACTCTGAGGACTCTCCTTGAGACACTCCAAGCGGCTCCGCATCATGAACTCTCGGCGCCGACGCTGCTCTTTGGCCCGGACAAGGTGTTGCTTTCTCTCCTCTTTGCTCCAGTAGCGCCCCATTTTCATCTCACTCATGGTGTCATCATCTGTAGTCATGCCACTCCTCTCCTCCTTGATCTTTAAGGCACGTTCCTTCAGAATTCGGTCTCGTACAGGTCTCTTTGTTATGTACCGTGTCCCATCACTCCTAATTTTCACCTTCCATTCCATCTTGGGCTCTGAACACTTTTGAGACTCCTTGCACATACTCACCAAACTGAGCTGACTCTGCGCATACTCCACTGCAGACTTCTGTTGAATTAATTGCATGTAGCTTTGATAATGCCGGGCATGTGCTGGGATATTTGCATATCTGTATGAGGAGCTGTGGTAAGGAGAGAGGTAAGGGATGTGTTCAGCGACTGTCTTTTCTTGTTCAGGAAGCTTGCTGCTTTCCAAAACCTTCTCTTTGCCTCCAGTGCTACATCCTTGTTCAGTTATTTTGGCTTTGGTGGAGGTTGACTCTTTACTGCTCTGTCCCAATGAGGATTGACTGGCTGCAGCTGTGCTTCTCAGATTTTTCTTATTGGTAAGGTGGATCATTCTGGGAAGGGAGCTATCAGGGGAGCGATCCACAGTCAGTGGAGTACTTCTGCAGCTTTCAGCTGTGTTGTAAGCACTGGAACTGTCTTTGTCAGACTTTTCTGGGTGTTCAATGATATCATCTAATTTTCCTCTTTGCATATCTATGCTGGTATTATAATTTCGGAATCCTACATCATGCAATGCCCAGATGTCTCCATATTGGTCTGTCACTTTCTGAAGCCTGTGAGCCTGCATGATATTCTGGCACTCAAGTTCAATGTTTCTTAGCTCTTCATTAAGTAACTGTAGCTCATGCTCCACTCCATCTTGCTCCCCTTGATTGCATTCAATTGTGCTGCTCGAATAATACAGATCATACTCTCCATGGTTTCGAATCTTGCATTTGAGCTCCAAGAGTTGCCGGAATCTTTCACATTCCTCATCTTGGTTTCCAACGCAGTCTGAATCAATGTATTCACCAGACATGAAACTCTCGTTGCACTGAAGTTCAATGCTTCCTAGAGTGTCTTGGCTCTGGCCCAGCTCTCTCTTGCTCTTCAAAGAAGCACTGTTGGGGTCCTCAGGTGCATTCTCCTGCTCTGAGCTCTCATCGTTTCGTAAGCTCTCATCTGTGCGCCCCACCCCACTATCCTTCTCATGGTGGTTGGATGAGGATGTTGCCGTATCAGTTGTACCTTCTTCTTCTTCTTGCTTTTTTGGCTAAGAAAATAAATTTGAGAGAACAAAGAAAATTAATCATTTTCTAAAACATCAATTCTTGGGAAATAAATGTGTCTTGGTAAAAATACTGGTTTAATTTTAATATTCATAACAAGTTCAGAAACAAAGGAAATTAGATCATGGCAGCTTTTTCTGTGATGAAATAAAGGAAACAAAAAGCTGCTTGAATGTGGCTATAATGCTCACTTGGGTATAAATAAAATAAGAAACATTTAAGGAAGGTGATTTATTTAAGGTTTTTCTTACTTGGAAAACTCTGAGGTGAAGGTGTATAAATAAGGTGACTTTATCAGTTTATAAGGTGATAATACACACACAAAAATGAGTAAGACAGAATGCCTAAACATTCATCAGCAATTTTGAGGCCTGAAGTTCAGAAAATACAATCACTTTTTTTTTTTCTCTGTACTTTCCTCAAGCAAATGGAAATAAAACATATCCCTTAATCAATCTAGTAATAGTCTGACAACGGTAAGTCAAACATCACAGAACTGAAGGAACAGATCAACATTATGTTCACACTGGAGCCCAGTACCTTCTGTCTGTAGATGAAGAACCTTAATCCCAGAGCGATAAGTTGACCAGTGACACATCTCCATCCCCCAGTATCAGGATTTCTCATATGTCAAGGATGACATATTCCTGGATATATGTGTACATTCGCCCTGAGTGCTTTAACTCTCCAAATCAGGTTGCTCTAAAGGAAAACACTATGTCTTCGCCTCATTTGATATGTTGTTGTTAGTTGCCATGAAATCAATTTTGACTCATGGTAACCCCATTCATACAGGGTAGAATTGCTCCATAGGGCTTTCAAGGATGTGAATTTTTGGAAGCAGATTTCTAGGTCTGTCTTCTGAGGAGCCTCTGGGTGAGTTCAAACAACCAACCTTTTAGCTAGGAGATGAGCACTTAATCATTTGTGCCATCCAGGATCTCTTCATTTGAATTACGTTAATTTTTTTTTCCCTGCCCTTAACTAGTAGTTATCTTCAAAGGTGAGTTTTATTCTACTAAGAATAAAAATAACTGTCACCGAGAAAATCTGAGCAGCACTGCTCTCCAGACATGGGCAAAATGTCATATACATATATCACTTTTTGGTAGTTTGTGGCTTTCCAATAGAGCAATTAACTGTCACTGCCCTAAAGAAATGCATGCATAGTTCTTTTTCAGTGAATAGTTACTTTCTCCTCTATCACTCCTCATATGTTAATCTACATGGCAGTTTCTAGATTGTATTTGCCTTATTTCTAATTTTATTCACTATT